GCCCCAGGCGTTCCTCCGGGCCATTTTGCCACGTGATGCTGGCTGCACCAGTCTCCTTGGAGCAGGCCCTAGCTCTGGCTGAGCAGGATGATGCCATGTTCGAGGAGACCGGAGGGAACCACCGGAGGGGCACTCCCTGCCGGGCAGTGGAGGCCCTGACGGGGAGGTAGCACCCAGGGAATCAGACAGAGAGGAGGAGACGGCCAGCGCAGCAACGCTGGGGGAGCTATGTCGGCGGGTCTTGTGCAACCGCTATGGGGCGAGGGGTGGCCTAAAGGGGGGAAGGCCACCCTTGAACAACACTACCCCACTCCGGAGAGCCAGGAGGAGCACTTCACCTCGACTGCCGCCGTAGGAAGAGTTGGCCACAGCCAGGGTTTATTTCTTTCCTGCCTTAACGAGGGCAGACCCTGCCAGGCCCTGGTCGACACCAGGTCAACCATCACCCTGCTGCGGCCAGGTGTCCTGCCAGGCACAGAGGCAGCTGGACCCCCAGGATGGGAAAACACCAGTCTGCGCCTGAGGAGGGTGATGGGGCAGTGTGCAAATGTCCTTGGCAAGCGGGCTCTCACCGTGCAGTTTGGGGCTGCAAGGGTAAAATACCCCTTCTACTTCACCCCAATCTGTGAGGACTGTATCCTGGGGTTGGACTGGTTGCAGCAGGTGGGTGGTTGCCTTGACTTGGGCTGGTGGGAGATGGTGGGGCAGGGGGAACGGATCCGATACGTGGCAGGCAGGTCGGGAGGTGTCCGGTGCGCAAGGGCAGACTGAAGCGGGAAGCAGAGGCAGCAGCGGCGGGCATCGCCAGGGCCTGTCGGAGCCGCAGGTCTTGGGGCGAGCATGCCGGGGCTGACTCCTGGGCCACCCGGCTGGGCGGTTGACGGGGCGGCTGCTGGGGGGGATGCAGGAGCCAAGCCCGACAGGGAGATAAGGCGTGCTGTGGGGAGCTGCAGCAAGGTCCTCAATCGGGACCAGCAATGGCGGCTGCGGTCTCTCCTTGCCGAGAACAAAGATCTGTTCATGGTGAGGAATGAGGACTGCACCTGTACAGTATGGCTCTCAAATGGCACGAGATCGACACCGCGGATGGGCGGGGACTAGGAAAGCCGCTGACCAGTGCAGCTGACCCATTGCTGCCCATTATGGCCAGCAGCCATATCACCCTGCAACTCACAAATGGTAACCCACTGAAGCTAAGCAGGTGTGAGCCTGATCAGTACCTGGATGGGAGATCTCCTGGGAAAAACTAAGGTTGCTGCTGGAAGAGGTGTTGTGGATCCTTATGCCCCAGTATAGTGACGGGGACACTATACTGTAAACAGGCACCGTCCTTCGGATGAGATGTAAAACCAAGGTCCTGACTCTCTGTGGTCATTAAAAATCCCAGGG